GTCAATGGCTTCAATGCGGGCCGTTATTACTCAGTCGGTCCGCAACACACTCTGTATATACCGGCGCCGCTCTTGAAGTCAGGCCTAAACCATATCTCAGTGTTTGAATTGCATTCACCCAAAGATGGCATTCAATTCACTGATACTCCAGACTTGGGTGAATTAAAACACTAAATTTTTGGATAAATGTTTACAATTATGTCTATTATAATATAATTGTAATGTTAAATTATAGTAAATTCCAAAGTCTGTTCAGAATCTTTATAAAAACAATAAATATAAACATTTTTTAGCTTAAATTTGTTATTATTTTACTGTCACTATTATTTTGTTTAATTGTTTTTATTTATTCCGTGTATTTACTTGAAATAATTTACAATAATTTAAATTATAATTAAACAAAATTGCTTTTATTTACAACACAATCATAATTTTTAACAAAACTAAAATGAAGAGCATTTATGACGATCGCCGGTAAACGGCTTAAGACTTACGACCACTTCCCGGCCATTGCGGGTCACCAAAAGAATTAGTCTCTGGTCTTCGCGCAGACCATCGATGGTGTCCTTTAACTGGGAAATGGATGTCATGGGATCGGCACCGATGGCAACGATTATATCGTTAAATTGTAGACCAGATCTGCACCAAAAAAAACGTTGTAACAAATTGTAGCAAAAATAATGATACAAAATAAAACAACACATACACTGTATTTTGATTCAATGGGTTATCAAAGCCAATGTTAATCACTTTAAATGAATTATCCGATTGTTTTTCCAACAAAACTCCCAACGATTTACGACTTTCTGTCAAATATTTACTTTCATTCAAATGTTTCTCATATTTAAGACCCCTTTCGATAAATTCTGAGCGCAAATCACATAACAAATAGACAAATAAATTAAAATAATTATAAAATAACAAACAAACTGTCCATACGTTTAACATCGGACACGTATAGGGCTAAGCGCTCGCTGTGCCAACCGGTAAAGTTGATACCAATAAGAGTGCCGCTCGAGTCCAGTAACGGTCCGCCGGAAAAGCCGTGAATAGTGCCCACGGAGTGAACGATATACCGGTTGTCGGCGTGTGTCGTGCATTGATGATACAAATCGGTGGCCAAACATATATTACCCGTACGGTCCACACCAGTGATCACTCCCGTCGCGTAACTGTTGCCAATATTTGTTGGGTTCCCGATCGCCAGCACCGGTTCGCCGAGTTTGGGCACCACGTGGTCGTCGATTGCGAGGGCCAACAGTACGCCGGGCCTGACGTGAACCCTAATGAGCGCCAAATCGCAGTGTGCCTTAACGTACAGCACTCGACCCCTCAGCGCTGTTATCTTATCGGTGCCTCCGGTGTGTCCGTAACTGAGCAGCGATTCGTCGTATGATTGGTTGAAATGTACGCTTACGTACGGCTGGTCTTTGACCACATGGCTGTTGGTGACGATCAGTCCCGTGTCGTCCACTATAACACCGGTTCCGCCCCCTTCTTCCGAAGCTATCATCACTATTGATGGCAATACTCTTTCGTATATCTGTCGCATTGGGTGAACAGCCGTTGCGCTCATACGGGCCCTCCTTATGGGATGTTGTGGTTTGAATTGACTATTGGACCCATTGTTGTGGTGACGGCTTTGCCTATGAAACAGATAATTGCCGCCAATTATGGCAATAGTGGTCACAAAAGGTACACTAATTGCACAGATAAAAAGATTTAATAACAAATTAATTGAAATCAATTGACAAACCTATTCGTATATCTAATTAATAAACCTGTTATTTGAGACATTAATACCAATAATATGTTATTATTATTAACAACTAAAATAAGTGAAAAATATAAGTTGTAAAACAAAATTATGAATTGTTTTTTCAAATATAACGATAAATTTGTAAATTGTGCAAATAATACACAACCAATTTTAAATAATTATTGAACGTGTTTATAAAATGATAACTTTATAATTTCTATTATTGTGTTATTTTATCAATTAATTCTTTACTAACAAGTAAGTTATAAGAAATGGTATTAATTAAATAAAATAGAAACAAAAAATTTTATAGCAAGAAATATAATATATTTTTATTTGATTAAAACATTTGGTAAAATATAAATTGAGCATAAATTTCAATACAACTAAAATGAAAAGCATTTGTGACGATCGCCAGTAAACGGCTTAAGACAGACGACAATCTCTTCGCCATTACGGGTCACCGAAAGGGTTAGTGTCTGGCCATCAATCATATCATTCAAGTGGTCCTTCAACTGGCAAATGTCAGTCATGGGAAGGGCGCCGATGGCTGTGATTATATCGTTTAGTTGTAGACCAGTTCTGCGAAAGACAATTACAAATTATGTAAATATTTGATAATAATTTATAACTAAAAACAGTGTAACAAAAATAGTGATAAAAACAACAAATACAGTGTGTTTTGATTCAATGGGTTATCAAAGCCAATGTTAATCACTTCAAATGAATTATCCGATTGTTTTTCCAACAAAACTCCCAACGATTTCCGACTTTTTGTCAAATATTTACTTTCATTCAATTGTTTTTCATATTTAAGACCCCTTTCAATAAATTCTGAGCACAAATCACATTAAAATTAAATTATAATTAAATATTTTACAAAATAAACTCTCCATACGTTTAACATCGGAGACGTGGATTGCCGTGCGATCGCTGTATTGACCGGAAAAGTTGATACCAATAAGAGTGCCGCTCGAGTCTAGTAGCGGTCCGCCGGAAAAGCCGTGAATAATAGGCGCCGAGTGGACGATATACCGATTGTCGGCGTCTGTCGTGCATTGATAATACATTTCAGTGCCCAAACATATACTGCCCCTACGGTCCACACCGGTAATAACGCCCACACAGTAACTAAATATAATATTATCAGGGTTACCGATGGCGAGCACCTGTTCGCAGAGTTTGGGCACCACGTGGTCGTCGATTGTGAGCGTCGACAGTAGGCCGGGCTTTACGTGAACCCTAATCAGTGCTAAATCGCAGTTTGCCTTACAGTACAGCACTCGACCCCTCAGTGCTGTCACTCTGTCGTTGTCGCCGGTGTGGCCGTACATGAGCTCCGATTGAGTGAATGCTTGTCTCAAATGTATGTAAACGTATGCCATGTCTTTGACCACATGGCTGTTGGTGACGATCAGTCCCGTGTTGTCCACTATAACACCGGTTCCCGAACCCTCTGGACTACTTATGACCACAACGGATGGCAATACTCTTTCGTATATCTGTCTCATTGGGTGATCAACTGTTGCGCTCATACGGGCCCTCCTTATGGGATGTTGTGGTTTGAATTGACTATTGGACCCATTGTTGAGGTGATGTCTTTGCCGATCAAACAGATAACTGCCACTAATTATGGCTACAGTTGACACAAATGGTACACTAATTTATATGAATAAATGTTTTAATGACCAACTTATTAAAATCAATTGACAAACCTATTTGTATAGTAACACAATAAACGTTTAAATAAATACATAAATTAGTTATAATAAGTTATAAGTTGTTAATAATAATTAGTTATTAACTAAAATAACTATAAAATCTAAATTTGAACACAAAATTACAAATTGATTATTCAAATGTAACGATAAATTTATAAATAAACAATAATTTTAAAGTAATAATTGGGTGCGTTATGAGATCGTGATTTTATCATTGCAATTGTTTTGATAATTTTAACAATTATTATAATAATGTGTTAATAGTATTAATTAAATAAAATACAAGTTTATTTTTACTTTAAACGTTTGGTATAAATTGTGTACAAAATATCAATACATCTAAACTGAAGAGCATTTGTGTCGAGCGCCGGTCAATGGCTTAAGAGTTACTGTCATTTTGCGTATACCGCGGGTCACCGATAGAGTCAGCGTCTGGTCATCACTCATACTATTCAAGCGGTCCTCCAATTGGGTTATGAACGCAAAGACATCAGCGCCGATGTGTGTGATTACATCACCCAACTGTAGACCAGACCTAACACAACACAAATATACAATAATTAATAAATGCTAAAAATTATGTAAAATTTAAACTCAAAAAACACCACAAACTCTGTGTTTTGATTCAATGGGTTATCCAAACCAATGTCCGTCACTTTAAACGACTTGATTTGTTTTTGAAGGAAAACACCCAACGATTTGCGGCTTTCCATCGAGTATTTACTTTCAATCAATTCTCTTTCATATTTGAGACCTCTTTCCATAAAATCTATACAAAATATACACAAAAATAAAAAAAACATTTACAAACCAAACATAAATAACTAGATTGTATGCCAATAACAATAGATACATACGTTTAACTTCTAGGGCGTTGATGGCCAGAAAGTCGTTGAGTGTACCGGCATAATTGACGCCAATAAGATTGCCGCTCGAGTCCAACAGCGGTCCGCCGGAAAAGCCGTGAATAATGTCGGCCGAGTGGACGATACAGCGCAGGTCGTCACGAGTGGTGTATTGATGATACAATTCGGTGCTTACACTGGGACTGCCCCGACGGTCGACACCCATAACCACTCCCACGGCGTAACTGTTTCTAATCTTAGAGGGGTTGCCGATCGCCAGCACCGGTTCGCCGAGTGTGGGCACCACGTGGTCGGCCAGAGGGAGGGCAGACAATACGCCGGGCTTGACGTGAATCCGGATGAGCGCCAAATCGCAGTGTATCTTAACGTACAGCACCTGACCCTCCGTTTCCGTTATATTAGTGTCCAGTGTATAGCCGTATAAGAGCTCAGATTTACGGTATGACTGAGCGAAATGTATGGTAACGTATGGCAAGTCTTGCACCACATGGCTGTTGGTGATGATGAGTCCCGTGTTGTCCACTATAATACCAGTGCCCGACCCTAAACTCGAGGTGATTTGTACCACTGATGGCAGTACTTTGTCGTATAACTGTCGCATTGGGTGAACAACCGTTGCGCTCATACGGGCCATCCGTATTGGCATGTGTTGTGTGTATTGCATGTATGGCCTAATGTTCAGCTGATTTTTGTGGTGATTAAACACATAATTACCACTTATTATAGCAATTGTGGCCATAAATGGGGCACTAATTTGATGGGAATTATTATTTATAATTTATTATAATTTCAGTCAATTCACATGATTTACAAACCTATAGCTATATTTGGCGGTAAAAACTTTTATTTGAAACATAACTTATTAGTTAAATAATTTGTAGATTAATATTAAGATAAATACTGTTAAACAGAAAAGTAATATTTATATTTTCAAATATAACGCTTAAATCCTTATAACTAACTGATCTAGTGTAATTATGCGCGTGAGATTAGTTATTTCAGTTTAACAATTGTAATTTTTAATACCTGTCACTTATCATAAATTTAATATTTTAATCATATGTTAATTACTTAAAGATTTACAAAATAATTACAATGAAAAAGTCTTATTTATTTATCGCAAAACATATAACATAGTAAAGTTATTAGTTATAAAGTAAAATAATTAGATCCATGTTATACTGTGTGGTTATTTTGGCGATTGTTTTTCACATTTATTATCCACGGATCCGCTCTCGGAGTCCAGACGATAGCACAGAAGGACAGAATAGAAACAGATCACAAATACTAGAAAAATGCCACATCCTATTCCCGTGATAATCAACGTGTTGTACCATTCAATATAATCCCTTTCTCTGGGTTCAGTCCCATTGAGCGCCGACTCTACCAAACTTACTGTACAACTGTTTTCAATAGAGATTAATGTATTGCTATTATTATTGTTTTATATTAATTTGGATTAATTTATGAATTACCCAATTGTTAGGATATAAACGATTAATAGAGGGTTTAATACAGAGTTTATGTTTATTATTAATAGATTATCACTAATCGGATGCAGATTTTTAACCATGTCTTCAATATAATCACTGTTTGAATTTTTATCTATGATTTTAAATATTGATACTAATTGTGATTTATTTTTTTAAATTTTAATAATCTCGCGTTTTATGTTTTTATCTAAAATATCCGCAATTATAAGTTGGAAAACATTTATCTCTAATATTAAACATAAAATATATTATGAAATTATAAATGAGTATTGATTTAATAAATTGTTGACAGAAATTGATAACATTTTTATGTTGATAAAAAGTTTTCATCTATCTTAACCCATTTAGTGTTGTGTTGATGTGAAACAAAACATGATAAACATTGCTTTTACACATATTTATTAACAGTACATTAAGGCTGCAATAAACCTAACCTTGCAACAAACAATATTATTCCTATGATTTCACTTGCTCTTTGATCAGGTATTAATACTTTATATTAATATCATCATTGTTTTAGTTTAGATACTGTACAGTTTATATTAGATTAAGTGTACCTAAAATTAACCTGTATGTTATCAACAGTACTTTAACATATTTGTAGGACAATAGTTATCTAGCAGATAAAATACCACTCAACATTTATTGTCAACTTTATATCAATGGGTATATAAGTAATTTGTAAACCAATTATTAAGTGAACTAAATAGCAATTGTGTTTTTACCACAATTGATTGTTCAGTTGTGTTGACTCTCACTATCATCTTATATTAAAACATTCAACAAAACACATATTGTCTGAAACAAATACAGCAATGAAATTGTGTTTAGCATTGATTGTGGTGTGTATTTGTGGGACAATATGTGCCCAATCGGCTCTACAGACAAACTACGAGTACTACACCGCCGGTGGCATAAAGTCGGGACTGAAGGCCGACACACAGGACTTTGTACTCAACGGCAAAAAGATAAGCCTAATTAGCGGTTCATTGCATTACTTTCGGTTACCACAAGAGTACTGGAAGGACAGGCTATTGAAGTTCAGAGCCGCCGGACTCAACGCCGTAAGTTATCAATAGCTGATATAACTATCATATACTAAATACCTGATCAAACACTATACCACTTGACCCACAGGTGCAGACATACAGCCCATGGAATCTGCACGAAGAGACGCCCGGCCACTGGGACTTTGAGACCGGTGTCCTAAACCTGAGGGCGTTTTTGGATGCTGTCAAAGAGGCCGACATGTTTGTCATGTATCGGATCGGGCCGTATATGTGCGGTGAGTGGGATCTGGGCGGCTACCCGTCGTGGCTGCTCCGGGACCCCCACATGAGACTCCGGTCCAACTATAAGCCACACCTGGAGGCGACCGAAACGTTTTACAAGAAGGTGTTGGCCATCATTGATGAATACCAGTTCACTAAAGGCGGACCCGTAATAGCGATGCAGTTTGAGAACGAGTTCGGAGGCATTCATAGCGCCAACGATAAGGAGTACTTCCAGTTCATGAAGAATACCATTGAGGCCAACGGTTTCAAAGAGTTGCTCACAAATTGCGACTCCTTTGGCACAGCGGCCGACTCCGTGAAGCTCGGCTTTAAAGGTCTGTATAGTGTAGTTGTGTGTAAAGTTATTTAGCAAATTTATCGTGATTTATTTTGTCGTAAATGTAATATTCAACATAACATTGTTGTTTGCTTTTTGCACAAGTGTTTACACATAGATGTTATTCATATAAACATAATGGTTATTGTAATTGTAATTTTTTATATGTATTGTACAGATGTTTTAGAGACCGACAACTTTAATACCGATTCGCTAAAACTGTTGACCGCGTTGCGTAAGGCGCAGCCCAATAAGCCCCTGTATGTGTCGGAGTTTTGGCCAGGGTGGTACGATTCATGGGGTGAAAAACAACACCACGTTTACGACGTGAACAAGTTTGAGAAGGAGGTGACGGATGTCTTATTCAACGCCAACTCATCCATCAATTTCTACATGTTTTTTGGCGGCACTAACTTTGGGTTCATGAATGGCGATACTG